TAGTAGTAGAAGTAGTAGTAGTAGTAGTAGTAGTAGTAGTAGTAGTGGTGGTGGTGGTGGTCGTAGTAGGAGTAGTAGTAACAGTAGTGGCCGTAGTAGTGGTAGTAATACTAAAAGTAGTAATAGTAGCAGTAGTCGTAGTAGTAATAGTAGTAGTAGTAGTAGTAGTAGTAGTAGTAGCCAGCGTCGTCGACATATTAGTGGTAGTAGTCCTAGTAGTCGTAGTGGTAGTGGTAGTGGGAGTAGTAGCAGTATTCGTAGTAGTAGCAGTAGTAGTAGTAGTCGTAGTAGTAGTAATAGTCGCAGTAGTAGTAATAGTGGTAGTCGTAGTCGTAGTAGCAGTCGTATTAGTAGTAGTAGTAGTAGTAGTAGTAGTAGTCGTAGAAGTCGTAATAGTAGTAGTAGTAGTATTCGTACTAGTAGTAGTAGTAGTACTACTACTACTACTAGTCGTAGTAGTAGTAGTGATAGTAGTAGTAGTAGTAGTAGTAGTAGTAATGGTATTAGTGGGAGTAGTCGGCGTAGTAGTAGTAGTAGGAGTAGTAGTAGTAGTAGTAGTCGTCGTAGTAGTCGTAGTAGTAGTAGTAGTAGTAGTAGTAGTAAGAGTAGTAGTAGTAGTAGTAGTCGTAGTAGTAGTAGTAGTAACGATAGTAGTCGTAGTAGTAGTAGTCGTCGTCGTCGTCGCCGTTGTCGCCGCAGGTAGTAGTAGTAGTACTAGTACTAGTACTAGTAGTACTACTAGTAGTAGTAGTAGTAGTAGTAGTAGTAGTAGTAGTAGTAGTAATAGTAGTAATAGTAATAGTAGTAGTAGTAGTAGTAGTAGTGGTGGTGGTGGTGGTGGTGGTGGTGGTGGTGGTAGTTGTAGTAGTAGTAGTAGTAGTGGTAGTAGTAGTAGTGGTAGTAGTGGTAGTGGTAGTAGTAGTAGTAGTAGTAGTAGTCGTGGTAGTAGTGATAGTAGTAGTAGTAGTAATAGTAGCAGCAGCAGCAGTAGTAGTAGTAGTAGCAGTAGAAGTAGCGGTATACGTAGTCGTAGTAGTAGAGGTAGTAGTAGTAGTAGTAGTAGTAGTAGTAGTAGTAGTAGTAGTACTAATACCAGTAGTTGTTGTTGTAGCTGTGGCAGCAGTGGAAGTAGCAGTAAAAGTAGTAGTAGTAAAAGTAGTGGTAGTAGTAGTCGTAGTCATAGTAGTCGTACGGGTAGTATTAGTAGTAGTACTCGTAGTCGTAGAAGTAGTATCAGTAGTCGTGGTCGTAGTAGTAGTAGTAGTACTACTGCTACTACTACTAGTATTGGTCGTAGTAGCAGTGGCAACGCTAGTAGTTGTACTTGTAGTAGAAGTAGTACTAGTAGCAGTAGCACTGGTCGTACTAGTAGTAGTAGTAGGAGTAGTAGTAGTAGTAGAAGTGATCGTAGTAGTAGTAGTAGTAGTAGTAGTTGTTGTAGTAGTGGTAGTAGCAGAAGTATTAGTAGCAGCAGTTGCTGTTGTACGAGTAGTAGTAGTGGTAGTACTACTACTACTACTACTACTACTACTAATAGTGTTCGTGGTGGTAATAGTAGTCGTAGTACTAGTCGTAGTAGTGGTACGAGTACTAGTGGTAGCCGTAGTGGCAATAGTAATAATAATGAAAAAAGCGTCGCGCTCGCACTAGTAGTAATAATCGTGATCGTAGAAGTAGTAGTACTAATGATTGTAGTAACAGTACGTGTAATAATAGGGGTAGTAGTCTTAGTCGCATTCGTAGCCGTACTCGTAAAATCGAAGTAGTAGTCGTCGTCGTGGACGTAGCAGTAATGATAGCAGTAGTGGTACTAGTAGTGGCAGAAGTAGTAGTAGCAGTAGTAGTAGTAGTAGTAGTAATAGTAGTAGTAGTTGTGGTAGTAGTAGTGGTAGGAGTAGCTGTGGTAGTAGTAGTAGTAGTTTTAATCATCCTAGTAGTGATAGTAATAGTCGTGTAGTAGTAGTAGTAGTAGTAGTAGTAGTCATGGTAGGCGTAGTAGCTGAAGTAGTAGGCGTACCAGTTGTTGTGGTAGTGGTTCATATAATCGCAGTCGTCTTCACACGCGTGGTCGTACTCGTCGTAGTACTAGTAGTAATAGTAGTAGTCGTAATCGTAGTAGTAGTAGTAGTACGGGTAGTAGTAGCACTAGTAGTAGTAGTAGTAGTTGCAGAAGTCGTAGTAGTAGTAGTAGTAATCAAACTAATGAGAACGGCAATCGTGTTCGTAGCCACCGCCGTAGTGAAGTCGTAGTAGTAGTTAGTTGTAGTCGGCGTAGTCGTAGGAGTGTAGTAGTAGTCGTAGTAGTAGTAGTAGCAAGAGTAATCGCAGTCGAAGCATTAAACTAGTAAAAAAGTAGCCGTCGACGGGCCGTCGCAGACAAAATCGTAAGAGTAGCCACCGTCATCGTAGTAGTGGCACTTGGAATAGTCGCATTCATAGTCGTAGTCTTAGTAGTCGTGGTGCGAGTAGTACGCGTCGAAGTTGTACTATTATATAAGAACCGCCGGAGTAATCCTAGTGACAGCAGCAGCAGTAGTAGCGCCCCCCCGTAAGAGAAGTAGCAAAAAAAAACAAAGCCGTAGTAGTAGCCATAGTATGAGTCGTGGTGGTAGTTGTGGTCATTACCACTCCTACTAATACCAGCAATGGATGTAGCGTCAATAGTAATCGTGACATTGCAGTAGTAGTAATAGCCGCCGTAATCGTAGACGTAGTTCTACGAGTAGTAGTAATAGTAAGGGTATTAGCAGCAGCAACACTACTAACACCAATAATCGTAATAGTAGTCGTAGTAGTACCAGTTGTGGCCGTAGTTGTATTTGTAGTAGCGATCGTACTTGTAGTAGCTGCCCCTCGTAGAAGTAGTAGTCGTAAGGGTATTTAGAATACAACGACTCATAACATACAAGCAACAATCGTCGTATGTCGTAGTCTGTAGTAGCATGAGTAGTCGTAGCAGTAGTAGTAGTAGTAGAAGTAGTAGTAGTAGTCGTAGTAGTAGTAGTAGTAGTGGTGGTGGTCGTAGTAGGAGTAGTAGTAACAGTAGTGGCCGTAGTAGTGGTAGTAATACTAAAAGTAGTAATAGTAGCAGTAGTCGTAGTAGTAGTAGTAGTAGTAGTAGTAGTAGTAGCCAGCGTCGTCGAAATATTAGTGGTAGTAGTCCTAGTAGTCGTAGTGGTAGTGGTAGTGGGAGTAGTAGCAGTATTCGTAGTAGTAGCAGTAGTAGTAGTAGTCGTAGTAGTAGTAGTCGCAATAGTAGTAGTAGTGGTAGTCGAGGTCGTAGTAACAGTCGTATGAGTAGTAGTAGTACTAGTATTAGTAGTAGTAGTAGTAGTAGTCGTAATAGTCGTAATAGTAGTAGTAGTAGTAGTAGTAGTAGTAGTAGTAGTATTCGTACTAGTAGTAGTAGTACTACTACTACTACTAGTCGTAGTAGTAGTAGTAATAGTAGTCGTAGTAGTAGTAGTTGTCGTAGTAGTAGTAGTAGTAGTAGTAGTAGTAGTAATGGTATTAGTGGGAGTAGTCGGCGTAGTAGTAGTAGTAGTAGTAGTCGTAGTAGTCGTAGTCGTAGTAGTAGTAGTAGTAGTAAGAGTAGTAGTAGTAGTAGTAGTAGTAGTCGTAGTAACAGTAGTAGTCGTAGTAGTAGTAGTCGTCGTCGTCGTCGCCGTCGTCGCCGTAGGTAGTAGTAGTAGTAGTAGTACTAGTAGTAGTAGTAGTAGTAGTAGTAGTAAGTAGTAGTGTGGTGTAGTAGTGTAGTAGTAGAGTAGTAGTAGTAGTAGTAGTAGTAGTAGTAGTAGTAGTAGTAGTAGTAGTAGTAGTAGTAGTAGTAGTAGTAGTAGTAGTGGTAGTAGTAGTATAGTAGTAGTAGTAGTAGTAGTAAGTAGTAGTAGTAGTAGTAGTAGTAGTAGTAGTAGTAGTAGTATAGTAGTAGTAGCAGAAGTAGTAGTCGTAGTAGTAGTATAGTAGTAGTAGTAGTAGTAGTAGTGTTAGTAGTAGTAGTAGCCGTAGTCGTAGTAGTAGTAGTAGTAGTAGTAGTAGCAGTAGTCGTAGTAGTAGTGGTAGTCGTAGTAGTAGTAGTAGTAGTAATAATAATAGTAGTACTGGTAGTAGTAGAAGTGGTTGTAGGCGTAGTAGTAGTAGTAGTAGTAGTAGTAGTAGTAGTAGTAGTACTAGTAGTAGCAGTAGTAGTAGTAGTCGTAGTAGTAGTAGTAGTAGTAGTAGAAGAAGAAGAAGTAGTGGTCGTAGTAGTAAGAAGGACAATACTAAGAATAATAACGCGGAGAAGATAACAACTTCAATTCGTAGCCCTCCCCCACGAAAATGAAGTTCGGCCTTGCCGCCCCTCCCCCCCGACCAAATCTGTTTTGGCCGAAGATAATCAAGGGTTGAAGGGGGAGATGTTTTTATATATATATATATATATATATATATATATATATATATATATTAAAAATCTGTGGCACGCGGTTCTATTCTGGACGCCCGTGCGGAAGTCTGTGGACGGCGCGACGACGTGACGCCCAGGAGGTGGGATCCAGGGACCACCTGGACCACCAATCTCGCTATGCTGGGGGGATCGAGGCGGGCGGCGAGGCGGGACCCCCTGCAAGTGCCACCCGGACAATCGGGATTCTTGGGGCCTGGCGGCCTCAGCATTCTAGGTGGGCGAGGCGGTTCGCGAGGCGAAATCCTCGGGGATCCTCAGGGACCACCCAGACAATCCCGATTCTTGGGGCCTGGCGGCCGCGTTACGCTAGGTGGGCAAAGCTGTTCTGGAGCTGTCACATTAAGCCCAACATCCGCCACCTGACAAATGGGGAACAATCGATAGGACCATCAATCGTGATCGCCTGTACCATCGCCGCCTTCAACTGCAGTAAGGCACGCCATGCAGCTGCTTGGCTGCGCAGAAGGTGGCGGGCAATAAAATCGAAGAGCGACGCGGATGTGGCAAGAGAAGCTCACAAGGCCCTCAAAGAAAACCATGGTGAGCCACGGTCCCAGAGACCACTGCCGTCTTCGAGAGATGCTTCGTGTCGGCGCAACCGTCCATCTGAGCCTTGCAGGCTGCGCTTGCGCAGAGCCAACAGACTCGACCATCACCACTGCGGTCTTACGCGCAAGCGAAACAACCATTGCATATGTTTACTCGTCCGCTCACTTACATCTACGCAGAACATACAAAACGCGAGAATGTAAACAGGGCTGAATCGAAAATAATGACCATGGACTCGCGCTGGCATGATGCACGCATGTGGGCTTGCAGAAGACCTAGGTGAGGAAAGACAGTATCGCCCAGTCGCCATCCGTGGGCGCCTCATTGGCCATCCATGCGCTGGCTGGCGTCTGGATGCGCACATCGATTGCGCCCCTTCGGTTTCAAACGCAGATTCTCCTTTCTAAAAAGAAAATAGACTCGACCCCCCCCCGGAGTTATCGCTACCCCTTTCGGGTATGTAAGTCTCATATGATTCTGGACACATGTTCATCCTAAATATGAAATCGCAATGTCCCAGGCCAACCGGTATCCCACCCCTGAGGTTCCCTTGTGTGTATATATATACATAAAACGATACGCGGGGACAGTTTTTGTTCTAACATAACACTTTTTCACGAACCCCTTGCAAAAAAAAGGCGAAGTGCACACGCGCGCGTCGTCGCGCGCGCATGCCGAAATCCTTCAAAAACCTTCGGTGCCGGAAGGATTTCGTAATCACGTTTTCAAAAAAATACAAAAACACAGGATTTCGCAACACTGATGTGCTAAAAAAACTTCCGCGCGAGCTCTTGCGAAATCTTACGAAAACCATCGGTTTTCAAGTTTTTCACAAGATGCACTCAAACGGGCTTCGCGCGCGCATGTCGAAATCTGTCGAACGCCCTTGCGCGTGTGCCGTCGCGAGAATCCTTTGCAAAAAACGGGACGAAGTGCAGACGCGCGCGTCGCCGCGCGCGTATGCCGAAAACCTTCAAAACCAATCGATTTCGGAAGGATTTCAAAATCGTGTCCAAAAAACATACAAAAAACACAAGGTTTCGCAACACGGACTTTTAACAAAAGCGTGCGCGCGCGCTTTTGCGTCGTCGTCGTCGTCGTCGTCGCCGTTGTCCCTCCTCCCGCGTCGTCGTCCTCGTCGTCGCCTACGTCGTCCTCTGTCTGTCCTCGTGTTCGTCGTCGTCGTCGTCCTCTTTGGCGTCGTGGTCGTTTCCGTCGTCGTTGTCGCCGTGGTCGTCCTTCCTCTTCCTTCCTCGTCGTCGTTGTCGTCCGTCGTCGGCGTGTCGTCGTCGTCCCTCCTATTTCGTCGTCGTCGTCGTCGTCATCGTTGTCGTCGTCGTCTTCCCTCCTCCCTCGTCGTTGTCGTCGTCGGCGTCGCCGTCCTTCCTCCTTCTTCGTCGTTCGCGTCGTCGCCGTCCTCCCTCCTCCCTCGTGGTTGTCGTCGTTGTCGTCGTTGTCGCCGTCGTCGTCCTCCCTCGTCGTCGTCTTCGTTGGCGACGTCGTCGTAGTCTTCGTCGTCGTCGTCGGCGTCGGCGTCGTCGTCGTCGTCGTCGACGTCGGCGTCGTCGTCGTCGCCGCCGTCGTCGACATCCAGCATCCAGCACTCATCGCAATCGCTCCAGCATGGGTTCTGCAAATCAATTTGCGGGCGGGTGGGTGGGATGATCGCGCGAGCAATGGAGTTGACAACTTCAAGTTCGGCAAGTGGATTATCCAATGTATTTTTTTTTATATTTATATATGTATATGTATATGTATATGTATATATACATATATATATACATTGTGAAACAAAAAAGAAAGAACAAAAAACTTTCCCCCCCCGGCGTTATCGGTATTTCTTTCGGGTATGTAAATCATATATGATTCTGACCACATGTCCATCCTAAATATGAATTTACACTATCCCAGGCCTGCCGGTATCCCCCCCCTGAGGTTCCGCTTTAAAAAAACACTATGCGGTGACATTTTTGGTTCTAGCATGGCACTTTTTTCGCAAATCCCTTGCAAAAAAAACGGGACGAAATGCGCACGCGCGCGTCGTCGCGCGCGCATGCCGAAATCCTTCAAAACCTTCAGTGCCGGGAGGATTTCGCAATCGAGCTTCCCCCCCAAAAAAACATACAAACACACAGGGTCTCGCAACACTGATTTGCTAAAAAAGCTTCCGCGCGAGCTCTTGCGAAATCTTGGGGAAACCATCGGTTCTTCAAGATTTTCACAAAATGCACTCAAACGGGCTTCGCGCGCGCGCATGTCGAAGTCTGTCGAACGCCCTTGCGCGTGTACCGTCGCGAGAATCCTCTGCAAAAAACGGGACGAAGTGCAGACGCGCGCGTCGTCGCGGGCGTACGCCGAAAACCTTCAAAACCCATCGGTTTCGGAAAGATTCCAAAATCGTGTGTCCAAAAAACCTACAAAAACACAAGGTTTCGCAACACGGTTTTTCAACAAAAGCGTGCGCGCGCGCGATCTTGCGTCATCGTCGTCGTCGTCGTCCTCCCTCCTCCCGCGTCGTCGTCGTCGTCGTCGTCGCCTACGTCGTCCTCTGTCTTTCCTCGTGTTCGTCGTCGTCGTCCTCTTTGGCGTCGTGGTCGTTTCCGTCGTCGTTGTCGCCGTGGTCGTCCTTCCTCCTCCTCCCTCGTCGTCGTCGTCGTCCGTCGTCGGCATCTCGTCGTCGTCCCTCCTATTTCGTCGCCGTCGTCGTCGTCGTCGTCGTCGTTGTCGTCGTCCGTCTTCCCTCCTCCCTCGTCGTTGTCGTCGTCGGCGTCGCCGTCCTTCCTCCTGCTTCGTCGTTCGTGTCGTCGCCGTCCTCCCTCCTCCCTCGTCGTTGTCGTCGTTGTCGTCGTTGTCGCCGTCGTCGTCCTCCCTCCTCCCTCGTCGTCGTCTTCGTTGGCGACGTCGTCGTCGTCTTCGTCGTCGTCGTCGGCGTCGGCGTCGTCGTCGCCAGTATCATCTTTGTCGCCGCCGTCGTCGTCGTCGTCGTCGTCGTCGGCGTCGTTGACGTCGTCGTCCTCGTCGGTGTCGTCGTTGTCGTCGTCGTCATCGTCGTCGTCGTTGTCGTCGTCGTCGTCGTCGTCGGCGGCGTCGTCGTCGTCGGAGTCGTCGTCGTCGTCGTTGTCGGCGTCGTCGAAGTCGTTGGAGACGTCGTCGGTGTCGTCGTAGTCGTTGCCGGCGGCGTCGTCGTCGTCGTTGTCGCTGTCGTCGTCGGCGTCGCTGTCGTTGCCAAGTGCCATTTTGTACCCACCGTCACGGTCTTAAGAGATGTTGCAAGCCAAGTTGCGGGTGAGTGGGTAGGATGTTTGCGCGAGCAGTGGAATGGACAACTCAATGCGAACAGAAATTAATTTTCCTTTCTAAAAACAGAATAGACTCTACCCCCCCCCCGGCGATATCGGTCCCCCTTTGGGGTATGTAAATCACATACGATTGTGACCACATGTCCATCCTAAATTATTCAATCGCAATGTCCCAAGCCAGCCGGGTTCCCCCCCCCTGGGGGTCCCTTGCAAAAAACACAATGCGGTGCATTTTCGGTTCTAACATAGCACTTTTTCACGAATCCCTTGCAAAAATGGGACGAAGTGCGCACGCGCGCGTCGTCGCGCGCGCATGCCGAAATCCTTCAAAAACCTTCGGTGCCGGAAGGATTTCGCAATCGAATTTCCAGAAAACATGCAAAAACACAAGGTTTCGCAACACTGATTTGCTAAAAAAGCTTCCGCGCGAGCTCTTGCGAAATTTTAAAAAATCATAGCTTCTTCAAGATTTCACAAAAATGCTATTAAACGGGCTTCGCGCGCGCATGTCGAAGTCTGTCGAACGCCCTTGCGCGTGTACCGTCGCGGGAATCCTCTGCAAAAAACGGGACGAAGTGCAGACGCGCGCTTCGTCGCGGGCGTACGCCGAAAACCTTCAAAACCCATCGGTTTCGGAAGGATTTCAAAATCGTGTGTCCAAAAAACTTACAAAAACACAAGGTTTCGCAACACGGATTTTCAACAAAAGCGTGCGCGCGCGCTCTTGCGTCGTCGTCGTCGTCGTCGCCGTCCTCCCTCCTCCCGCGTCGTCGTCGTCGTCGTCGTCGTCGCCTACGTCGTCCTCTGTCTTTCCTCGTGTTCGTCGTCGTCGTCCTCTTTGGCGTCGTGGTCGTTTCCGTCGTCGTTGTCGCCGTGGTCGTCCTTCCTCCTCCTCCCTCGTCGTCGTCGTCGTCCGTCGTCGGCGTCTCGTCGTCGTCCCTCCTATTTCGTCGCCGTCGTCGTCGTCGTTGTCGTCGTCGTCTTCCCTCCTCCCTCGTCGTTGTCGTCGTCGGCGTCGCCATCCTTCTTCCTTCTTCGTCGTTCGCGTCGTCGCCATCCTCCCTCCTCCCTCGTCGTTGTCGTCGTTGTCGTCGTTGTCGCCGTCGTCGTTCCTTCCTCCTCCCTCGTCGTTGTCTTCGTTGGCGTCGTCGTCGTCTTCGTCGTCGTCGGCGTCGGCGTCGTTGTCGTCGTCGAAGTCGTCGGAGACGCGATCGGTGTCGTCGTAGTCGTTGTCGCCGGTGTCGTCGTAGTCGGTCTTAAGAGGTTTTGCAAGCCAAGTTGTGGGTGGGTGGGTAGGATGTTTGCAAGAGCGTGGGATGTGTCAAATCATAAGTAAAAATCAGTTCCACCCCATAGCTTGCACCACACAGGTTGAAACCCATAGCTTTCACCACGTGGGCACCACAGAGAGTGAATATCATAGATTGCACGACGTAGTTCGCACCACACATATGCAACGCATAGCTCGCACCACATGTCATGCGCCACATAGGTTTGCAGCATATTGGCTACGCATCCAAAGTGCAAGAGATCACTGTTTGGGGTCTACGCTGGCAAAATTGCAGCTGAGAGTGCAGATCGCATTCTGTGCATACGTTGACCGCCCGGTCGGTATCATTGCGTTTTCAGTATTTGCTGCAGTGCCGATATGATTGTAACACTGCAACAAAACCCTGACCGCAAACTTGAGATGTCGAGTAAACTGCTTGTCGTCGACTACTTGGGCTCATCGTGTACCTGTGGTTCGAGTGTCGCCATGCGCCC